CCTGGGTCCAGTTCATATAGAGTCCCTGGTCCCATTGCTGTTACGTGCCACTTATTGGAAAGGGCGACCCCACAATGGGTTCATATAGCCACTCTTACACACCTGCACCAACGTTTCCCAAAGTGTCCCTTTGATAAGTGGCACTTTGGCAAAGTGACACTTGCCGACTGGCCTTTCTATATGAACTGGGCCCGGCCCTGGTGAGTTGCCGGGGCTGAGCCTGACCAAAGGATAGGCCGAGCAGCCCCCAAGCACTCACCCCACCCGGCTACGGGCGAGCTCGGCTTACGGGCCATCCCAAATGGGATAAAGTTTCCCGTCCAGTCCGGATCACGGGGTTGCGGCGTGGAGGAAGATTTGAGTTTCCTGAGGATATTTTGAATACAGAAGCTCTTTATGAAACATGAAACATGTATTTTATATTATTTTAACGGTCAAAACAGCGGCCGATGTCGGTCCGACGTCGCCCCGACGTCGGCCCGACGTCGGCTGGACCTCAGCAATTGATCTCGGTCCGACGTCGGCTGGACCTCGGCTGGACGTCGGAACATGCGGGCATATACGACATCCAGCCGACGTCGTGCCGAGGTTGGACCGACGTCGGGCCGACGTCGGCATGCTGATGCCGAGTTGCCGACGTCACCCCGACGTCGGCCGACGTCGGGCCGACGTCGGCATGTTTACTGGGTCACCACCGTGCAAAACGCCCCCCTTTCAGAAAACTGGGGGCGTCTTGCCCCATGCATCGAGTAGGCGTCTTGCCCCATCCACTCCATTTCCGGTCAACAAAATATTGACAAAAAACGCGCCACTAACGCCGCAGCATAATATATTCAACAGAATGACAATAAAACGCAGTTTTGAGTGATGTGCACAATAGCAAGGTTTGTGATATAAAGAGGGCATCAAAATATTAGGAATCTTCTGCAAAAACAACAAAAACAACATCCAAAACCAACATCAGCACCTACCCACGCTGCTCCTCAAGACTCAGAACCGGAAATAGAGACCTACGTAAGTCGTAAACAAGCAGCTGACTGTTCTGAAAGACAGGATAAAACACCTATCCGTCAATAAGAAATACGATTTTTTTTAGGGGAGGCGTTTAACCCAGGGGTGCGTTTTCCCCACAGTTACCCTAACCCTCGCCCGTATTGGTGTTTTTCCAGCCGCGAACGTACAGTAGGTACCAGCTTCGAAATCAGTTGTTAAAAAGCTCTCCAAAAGTTTCTTTCTTAACCAGTATCATTGATTCATTCAATTCAGTTTGCATGATGATATGCCTTGTGTGATAATGTAATTGAAAATCATCTTGGTTATCGGGTAGTTCTATTACCCGTTACCTCCTATTTCTGATTTCTTTCTTTCTTTCTTTCTTTTTGATTTGATTTAAACTTAATTTGATTTTGATTAAATTTATCTTATTTTTATTTTTATTTTACATTTTGTCTTTCGTTCTTGGCGTTTCTTGACATTACCTCCCGATTGTGTTATGTTGACTTATTTACTTATTTACTTTTTTATTTTAATTAAATTTTATTTCTACACTTGTCACCTCGGAACTGGCCTCTGTGGGCTGTCCGACAACAAGCCTTGCTTAGTTGGACGGCCCTGCAGGGGTTCAGTAACTGATCCTGCTCGAATTTGACCAGAAAGATCACCTTCAACCATCCACTTTATTTGTATGACTGCTCCCCCTCTATCACCTTCCTCCCACTAACATTACCCTGTATGAGTGTATATCTGTGGGCGTTTCAGGGGTGTAGGAGGGCAGTCACTAACTGTTTGCAGTTGTGACCACTTTGCTTCTCTTATGTTAACATATTAACAGCATGCTCACTCCACAGCTATTTGCTTTCTTTTGTTTTTTCCTTACTCTTAGCAGGGAGTGCCGCGACTTGTCATATTAAGTTTGGTCTGGTGTTAACGTAAGGTTCTGTGTGTCGCTGGGATAGAGGGAGGGCGCACTCCTGGTCACCTATTCATGGGTGGCGGCGTAGAAAAAAAAAATAAGGGGGGGGGGGGGTCCGTTGGACACCCCCTTGCCGTTTCGCCCCTGATCGAGCTAGAGCTTCGCGGAAAAAACGAGCGTGTTGCCCGTGACGAGAGGAAGCCGATGATACCCAATTTTAAGGTCCTAGGTCATTGGTTGACCTTGCAGGTCAGGTCAGTCAGGTCAATGACCCCAAAGGCGGGAAAATCGGGACCTGTTAGAACGTCGTAAAGTGTGGCTGCAATTGGGTTTTCGGGGTGCTGATCACGAATATCATGTTAGTTTTGATCACAGATGATGTCTTCATGTATTTAGGCCAGGTCGGGTCAGGTCAGGTCAGGTCAACCAGTAAGGGTATTCGTAGTAGGTGGCAACCGCCTCTGACAGCTTCGTAACATGTTACGAAGGCACCAAAACTACTTCGTAAATGTTCATATGGTTGCCAAATTCGAATTCAGCTCCAAAAACTGGCCTAGAAACATGTAAAAATCGAAAAAGTGAACCGAGGTCATCAAAGGTCAATGACCTGACCTGACCTTCAGGTGACCTTGACACCCACCCTAATGCATGGGGGCAACATCATATCACATGTTTGAACGCTTGAAACCACGAAAAGACTGCAAACGCGCGGCTAATGCGAGCCGACATACGCCGAATCGCGATTCCAGCCAAACATGGCCTCGAAAAGTAGGTCACAGGTCAAAGGTCATTTGGGTCAGGGTCATGAAATTTTCAGGGTGGGTGTGAAATTGATGAACGCGAGGGTACTGAAAGTTTCGTCGCGATCGGCCGCTTTTTACGCGAGTTATTCGCGAAAAATCATGGGGGGGGGGGTCCGTTCGACCCCCCCCCCCCCTATACGGGTGAGGGATAACTTACTATACTATATACTAATTTCATACTAATTTTACACCTTTGTGAATTTCTGGTGTGAAGTGCTTTACCGAGGAACATAGCGAGAATAAATATTTGAAGGATCACTGACCTTTTCCTCGAAGAAGTAAAAACAATGCCAAAATGTATATTTAATGTGGTGGGCTTTCGGATACAAGCCTTCGTCAAACCAACAAAATGACACGATTCAAAATTCACGATAATTTGGTATCGTTATTTGGTATCGTGTGTGTCATTTGTCATTTGCCATTTGTACTGTCAAGGCTTGATATCTTACGCCTGATTAACCGTGTGTGTTTGAGATCATGGGTCAAGTTCTGCATCTATTGTTTTGTCTTTTTGGTTGAAATTGGTACTTGGAACTCCCACCCCACCCAACTCCTCCCGTCGGTGCAAAGTTGGCGCAAACCCCGTCGGTGCACGAGCGAAAGAAACATGTGTTTTCCTGTAACTTTTTTAGCTGCGAGTACAAGGTCATTAAACTATAAAAACGCTTTAACCCGCGCCCCACTGGGGTCTGCGTATAACACGCCCTACTGGGGGGGGGGGGGGGGGGGGCTATTCATAGCCCCCCTCCTAACTCCGAAACTACTGGGCCGATCGTCAAAATTCAAACGGCGTCTGATAGCCCCGGAAAAACTGTCGAGCGAAATCTAATTTTATTGACCTCGAGGTCACTGATGACGGCACAGGTCAGGTCAAATAAAAATTATTAGCATTTTGGCTTCTTTACGTTTTGGGCTCTGGCCGCCGTCTTACAAGTCAGATCAGGCTCATTTTTGGTTCACACACTCGTGAACAGATGCTCTAGATACTCTGAAGGTACCAAACTTGTACTTTGATGTTCAGGTCAAGGTCAGGTCATCACAGGTCACGAAAATATTATATCATCCGTCGGTCACGTGACACATGTTTTATGGTCCATTTAGGCCAAACATTTCGAATTTGATGTCGTCTGTGTCATGCGAGGTCATTTTGAGTCAAATTTAGCTTAGGTCAGGTCACTTTCAGGTCAAAAAAGGTCAAATTTTGAAGTGAAAATTTTTCAACAAAAAAGGTGTCTATTCGATGCAGTTTGAGCTCAGGAACACGATGGTGCTACTTATATTGGCGTACGATGTCAAATTCGTGCTGAAAAATTGATTTGAAAAATTAATAATTGTTATTTTTTTGCAATAATTCGTATAACCTGGCCATTTTTGAAAATATTTAGCTAAAACTTGCTAGAGGTAGTCATAATAATGCGTTCTATCACATATATTCTGTTTTTTCGAAAAGTCAAAAACTTTTTGAAAAAAATGTAAAAATATAAATTTTGAATTTTATTATTTAAAATTTTCGAAATTTTCAAAATTTCGAAAATCCGAGATAGCAGTTTGATAGCGCAGTCTATTCTGAGTCCTCTCACGCAAAGAAATTGGATCTAGCTTAAAAACTGAGCTCTTGGGAGCGATTGCCGTGGTTCAATGTTTTGCGTCGAAATCGGCCGAACATGACGTCACTCTGACGTCATTTCCGGCCGACCTATGGTAGGTACGAATTTAAAATTTTTCACACAAGGTGTCAAATTGATGCAGCCGAAGGTACTGAAAGTTTGGCGTCGATACGTCAAGCGGTTTGGAAGTTATTGCAGAAAAACGGGAGGGGGGGCTATAAATAGCCCCCCCCCAGTGGGGCGCGGGTTAAACAGGATCCTTGCACAAGCACTGATAAAACTTGTAAACCATGTGTAGGTAAGCCCCACTGCAAGTGCAGAATGCAAAGTTTAGAGGTGTCAAGTTTATTCTCAGTACATGTTATCCCGTCAATTAATTACTGGAGCGATTGCGCTGAATCTTGGCATGTGGGAAGACACCAACCGGGCTGCGGGCAACGCATATCCAAATGTCACGGTTGGGGTGCTACTGCACGTGCATTCGTGCAGGTATCGTTTCCAGGTCTCGAGAACGGCTGGACCGATTGCGCTCAAACCTGGCACTCGGTTAGGGATCGGTGTGTGGGGTGCCGGGAAAAAGTCAGTTGAAACCCCGTTTGCACGTGCGTACATGCGCACTAGCGCATGTACAGGACTCACACTCGCACTCGGTCGTTTATCGTCCCAAAAGGCGGCATACTGGTAAAAGTGTGCATACCACCACACATATTGTTTATTCGCATTCGGTCACTTTACATGTTTGCGCTGTTCCACCGAACGGTATGCATGCAAATGCATTCTGAAATCAATCACGGATAAAAAGTTTTCAAGAAATATCATTAGCACAAAGAAAGTACCAATATATTTTTTTTTTGTCACACACAATAAAACATTTGCGTATCGTAGGTAGCATATTTCTTGAATATTCAACATAGCTATACGACATTTTTAACAGACCTACTTTGATAACCAACAACCCTAATTAAGCTCGCCTGAGTAACCAGGTTGCATTGCTTATATTGCAGGCATACGTCACGGCGTCTACAGTGTGTTGAGCTGGACGTTCCGGCCTGAACAGACGGCTGCCACTTTCCCGCCATCGGTCACAATCGGTTACAAAAACACACCTTCCTGTTTGGCATGAATGTCCGGCCGGCTTCCGTTCAGGTGACCTGAACCGGTCAGCCCAGGTGATCGGGCGGTACAGTCACCTGTACCAGCAGGTACCAGGAAACCGAGTGGTACAGTGACTCGTACCGGCCGGCCCCAGGAGACCGGGCGGTACAGTCGTCTGTAGCGGTCGGCCCCAGGAGACCGGGCGGTACAGTCGTCTGTACCGGCCGTTGTCCGTTCAGGTGACCTGTACCGGCCGGTACCAGGAGACCGGGTGGGCTGGTACAGTGACCTGTACCGGCTGGATGTCCTCACGCCGGCGCCCGCTCCGGGTGACCTATACCTGGGCCGTCCAGGGGCTGCTGCTCAGCTGTTGTGTCGTGAGTCTCAGACCTGGCGAAAAACGCTCTGTGACAACACGGGTCTGGCGCGTAGAAAATTATGTGACGTAACAGCCAAGAGAAGAATAGTAGATATCGTCAGAGATACAGGCAAGCTGGCAGCGCTGCATCAGGTGCTAACGTAGAGAGGGAAATGAACATATTACCTATACAATATTTATTCAGCAGGTAAAAGGAAATGTCGGCACAAAAGACAGTTATCACATCAGGTAGTGACGGCCACCTAACCCTGCAGGCTGCCGCACTGCGCTGATAACCACCGAGAGCTTCATCGGGCCGAACGGCCAAGTCAGCCGGACTTGGTAGCGTTTTTGGACAATAACAAAGTACCTGGGCTCATCCCATCAGAAAGCCAAACATGTGAAGGTCACATAACATACGAGGAATGTATAGGATCGCAATACGAAATATGTATGGATAAAGCACCAGTCTGATTATTTGAACGGCTCTTTCTGTTAGTCTCTGACAGCAGCTCCAGTCTCTGACAGGCCCTGACAGTCTCTGACAGCAGTCCCAGTCTCTGGCAGAGTTTCTGACAGTCTCTGACAGCAGTCCCAGTCTCTGACAGGCCCAGACAGTCTCTGACAGCAGTCCCAGTCTCTGGCAGAAATTCTGACAGTCGCTGACAGCAGTCCCAGTCTCTGACAGGCCCTGGCAGTCTCTGACAGAAATTCTGAGTCTCTGACAGCAGTCCCAGTCTCTGACAGAACCCAGACAGTCTCTGACAGCAGTCCCAGTCTCTGACAGACCCTGACAGTCTCTGACAACAGTCCCAGTCTCTGGCAGGCACTGACAGTCTCTGACAACAGCCCCATCGCCGAAGCGGTGTCCGGCCAGTCTCTGACAGCGGTCGCTGGCCAGTCTCTGGCAGCGGTGTCCGCCCACTGACCTGCGTGTGTCGCCGAACACGTCCGCCACGGTCTCCGGCAGCGGCCGGCCGGCCGTCTCGGGCAGCAGCAGCACCGAGAGCCCGGAGCCGACCGCCGACAGGCCGTACACCACCACCGGCAGAGACGGGTGCACATCGTCCCTCTGCGCGGTCATACCGGGGCCACAGTGGGGTACAGTTACACCGGGCCCAGAGTGGGGTACAGTTACACCGGGGCCACAGTGGGGTACAGTTACACCGGGGCGCAGTACAGTTACATCGGGGCCAGAGTGGGGTACAGTTACACCGGGACGCGGTACAGTTACATCGGGCCCAGAGTGGGGTACAGTTACACCGGGGCCAGAGTGGGGTACAGTTACACCGGGGCACGGTACAGTTACACCGGGGCCAGAGTGGGGTACAGTTACATCGGGACGCAGTACAGTTACACCGGGACCAGAGTGGGGTACAGTTACACCGGGGCGCAGTACAGTTACACCGGGGCCAGAGTGGGGCATATACAGTTACACCGGGGCCAGAGTGGGTTACAGTCACATCGGGGCCAGAGTGGGGTACATTCACATCGGGACACAGTACAGTTACACCGGGGCCAGAGTGGGATATAGTCACACGGACTACAAAGGGTACAGGGGCACATGGGGTACAGTTGCACCCGGCCATTCAAACCTTAGCTGGTCCACCTTACCCCACCTTCCCCCACGGCCCCCTCACCAGCAGCTGCAGCATTGGCGCCAGGATGCCTCCGAAGCGCGAGCCGACTGAGCAGACGGCCAGGCCCGTGTTGCGCAGCGCCGTGGGGAACAGCTCGGCCGAGTACACGTAGATGGCTCCGAACGAGGCCGTGATGCCGAACCGGCCGAGCAGGCCCAGACAGACCACCGGCCAGCCGCGCTGCCACGCCGCTGCCGGAGAAGAGAGCGTCAGAGGAGCGTCACACAGCCGGTCGAGCGGTGTCAGCGTGGGGTACAACACGATGACGGCTGTACATTAAGAAACCGAGGGGCGGGTACCACTGTTTGTATGTTCCGTTTCAGTGCCATCGCCAGTTCGCGGCGCCAGCGGGGTCGTCTGACGCTGCCGAGTGTCTCCGGCAGGTGCCGTGAGCAGTGCCGGCAGCGCGCGGCTCACCTGGGTCGAAGGCGAGCGTCAGCAGGCAGCTGAGGCCGGCGACGGTCATGGCCAGCGCGATCGGACGCCGCCGGCCCAGGCGCAGGATGGCGTAGATGCAGGCGGCGTACGCCGGAATCTCCACCGCTCCTGAGCGAGGCAGAACAGACGGGCGGCGACACACTGAACGGCACTGGCTACCGTGCACACATGACACATACTGGCCGCTCGACTAATCACTGGAGCCGGGAAGAGTGATACTGATCGTGGATTTTCCAGCGGCTCATAGGCATCTCAACCAAAGGAGGTGAACAGGGTAATTTGGTATGTTCGGATGCAAACTATATTATAACCCAGAGTTAAACCATTTACTTCAACTAAATAAATAGATCGGATCTCAAACCATTAATCTCCCTAAATTGAGCAATACGCTTGTTCGGGCTGTGATATGTACCTCCAAGGAAGGCGTTCATGTAGATGTTGTCTCCGAAGTCGCCCGTGTTGAGCAGGATGCCGTAGAACACCATGCTGTTGACGAGCCAGCAGACGAAGAGGCAGCCGACCAGCGCCAGCATGCGTCCGTCGGCGGCCAGCGGCCGGCAGCCGGCGGGAGTCGCCTCGCCCGGCTCGGCGCGGCCCTGCCGAGCGCGGAGCAGGGACACGGTCACGGGTCACACCACCGCGCCACTGCGGACTCAGTGAGCTGGGAGACACGGTCACACCACCGCGCCACGGCGGATTCAGTGACACGGTCACACCACCGCGACACTGCGGATTCAGTGGGCTGGGAGCGCAGGCCAGCGACCAGCTGCAATGTTTCATAACATGCTTAGGTACGGCTTCAATAATTCAAACCCTGTCATCTTCTCATGCATTTCAGCCCAGTCACCATGCGTGATTTGACTCAGGCGCTTACGGTTCTATCTATGCTGCAACATAGGGAGGGCTCAGGAGACAGACGACGCCACGGGGTGTAAAGGTTTTGTCGATTTTTAAGACATTGCTGTGCAGTAAATAATCATTTTAGGCTCTAAGGGAGCCCAAAGGTTAATATCGAACTGCCTTAGAGGATAAAATACTCGAAGATAAATATTGGCGAAGATTGGTCGACACCCGCTGACGTCATCATTCAAGGTCACCGATGTAAACAAACGGCTAACCATTCAACCTCCTATGTAAGGCCTTGGTTTGACTGACCTGAGTAGTGAGCAGGTTATCCAGGACTGGCATTTTGTTATACAGGCGGGCCCTCTTCATGATGGTGACGGCCTCGTTCACTCTGCCGCGCGACAGCAGCCACCGCGGCGACTCGGGAACAACCCTGGAACGCCGCGTATCGGGCGCTCGTGAGTATCGTCTGGACCATGGGTTCACCGTCACGCGAAGCTGCATGGATTGAGTGCCCGCTACGAGTGCCAGCCCGTCACGTGGTACGGGCGGCCTGACCACACGCCCTTGTAGCCTTTATATATCTCGGCCACCGCTCGACCGATCGACAAAGGGTCTGCTGTATAGAGACGAACAGTACCTAGCAAATAGCCCATCCCTTCAATCATCAACTCAATCACTTGCGATGCAGATGTGACTGCCACGGCACATGCCACAGGCCACTAGCCATGGGGGTGCCAGCATCGTTTCGCTTGCAATAGCACCCACATCGAATGGGCAGATTGCACTGAAACGTGCTGGTGGACACCCATTGTGGCGATACGCTTTACCTAGGTGCCGGCGATAGGTACAGACTCACCAGTACTAGGCCCTGTGAGCAGCGGTTCTTACGGGTAGTAGGCAAGCGGCGGTTCTCACCAGTAGTAAGCCATGTAGAGGATGCCGGGCAGCGACACGGCGACCTGGAGCGCCCTCCAGTGGCGCACAAAGTAGGCCAGCACCGCCAGCGTCATATAGCCCAGCGACATGGGCATGCAGAAGGCGATACCGACCACGACGCGCCACCAGTCCCCGAGCATCTCCATACCTGTGAGAGCGAGCGCCACGCGGCACCAGTCACTTCGGGACGGATCGCCGCGTTATTGAACACAGGTGTTGAACAGCACCCTAGGTCTAAGAAGCAAAGATGTAGTAAGCATCCATGAAAATAATATTATCTCAAGACAATGCCTGATCGTTTCCAGCTGCCCACGGGTGCACCGGTACCAGCGCCAGTGTCCCCTGCTGCAGCGCCAGTGTCCCCTGCCAGCGCCAGTGTCCCCTGCCAGCGCCAGTGTCCAGCGGCGGCGCGCTGCCACTCACAGGTGACGAAGCAGGCGCAGTAGGCGCCTATGCCGCAGAAGGCGATCATGAAGCGGAAGACGAGGAACAGCTGCACGCTGTTGACGGCAGCGCAGCCGTTCCCGGAGAGACAGGCCAGCATCACACAGAGCAGCAGCGTCGGCCGACGGCCGTACCTGGGGCGGGGAGGGCCGCCGGTCACTGCACGCGGCGGGCGAGCGCCACCGGTCACTGCACGCGGCGGGCGAGCGCCACCGGTCACTGAACGCGGCGGGCGAGCGCCACCGGTCACTGCACGCGGCGGGCGAGCGCCACCGGTCACTGAACGCGGCGGGCGAGCGCCACCGGTCACTGAACGCGGCGGGCGAGCGCCACCGGTCACTGCACGTAGCGGGGAGGGCCACCGGCCATTAAACACAAGAGGGCTCGCCGGTCACCGGGTCGAGGTCGCGGTCACCGGAGCGGGACCACTCACCTGTCGGCGAACACGCCCCAGAAGAGGACGCCGCAGCCGATGCCGACCATGTAGATGGCCTGAGCGAACATCTGCAGCCAGCGGCGATCGCACACCAGGTCCCACTGGCGGTCAGACCAGGACCCATTGGCGGTCAGACCAGGACCCACCGGGGGTCACAGGCGAACACCATTAGTCGGGGTCAGACCTCACACCTGGCGGTCAGCGTGTGGCATCTAAAATAGGTACCACACGCTGTGGTGTTTTAGATGCCTAAAACACCGCAAAACGTCGCTTGTGGTGTTTGATGCGCTTGGGAAACGTCCTGTTCCAGCTGTCAGCTGTCTACATACATTGCATTGGCACATTTTCCTTGTCTGCATTTATTTTCTCCACGCACACCCTACAACCCCGCAACCGACATCTGAATGAAGGAAAAGGCCGCTGAGAGGCGCGTCAGCGTGCTGCGTGGTGCTATGGGCCCCATAAATATCGTAAGCGGGCGAGTTCAGCATGTGCTGATTAGCCGCCCTCCTTTGTCTGACACGGAGTCTTACCTCAATGACGACATTGTTGGTGTACTCGGAGGTGTTGTACGTCCACCGGCGGCACGGCACTGTGCGGTTTCTGTCCAGGATGCGCACAGACGTCGAGTTTGTGTCGGCGACGTACGATCGACATCCCCAGGCTGCGCTCTGAAAATGGCCGACCACCTCAGAAACGGCAACATAGCCAATCCGAGCTGATATGTAACGATAGACATCGTTTGTCGGTCTCCAGAAAGGGATTTGTCGATATGACCGCCTTTGTTAGCGCGTGCGCCATTATTTTGTGTTGGTGCGCCATGGTCGTGGCGGATTGAGCGGAAATCGACCATGATGGGCGTTGGTGCGGTGTGGTGACGTGGCGGTTGAGTTGCGTGTACCGATGAAGCTGTTTTGGGACGACGACTTGGAAATAAAAACGAAAAAGATTACGTGAAGACGTAACAATTAACATCAGCGGTGGGATGTGAATAAACCATACTCTGAGAAGAAACAAAGAGATTGGCATTTATGATACGTGCGGATGAGTGAAGTAAAAAGTGAACGGGAGCCAGAAGAACCGAAAGTGACCAATGGGTTAAAATCTTTGGAACAAAGTGCTGATTGTACTGGATGGAGAGTGCAATGATGAAACCAAAAAGCTACCAGGGGGAAGACCCTGAAAGTTATTTGCGAGGCTTTGTGAGGCTGGCAAGAGCCAACAAGTGGGATGAGGAGTGTCAGCTAGCCATTCTCCCTGCCCTCTTTTCGCAGACTCATGACCGGCTGGCAAGAGAACTAGAGGATGGTGAGCACATACAAACGCTGGCACAGGCCAAAGAGAAGATATTGGCAAGGCTGATGCCTGCTGAACGACGTAAAACTTGCCTGCATGATTTTTATGAGCTGAAAATGTCTGACCGATGAGCCCAGGGTGTTCGTCTCCAAGCTGCAGGCTATGATCCGAGCAGCCATGCCTGAGCTGGGCCCTGAGGGTCATGAGCAGCTGGTGTCTGAACAGCTGACGAGGTCAGTTCCCTCACAATGGCGGCTCAGACTCTTGGACTATGAAACGACCACGAAGGAAGGACTAATTCGGAGGTTGGAGAAGATAAAGACAACAGAACAGCTACAGAAAGACATGGGAGCCTCCAGTATCATGGTGAGGAAGGTGAACCCGACTTAAAGTCTGGCAGCTGGTGTCAGGAAGCGAACCAGCTTCAGGTGTGGGCAAGGTGGGTCATATTGCCGTGAACTGTCGTTCTGCCAGTGCCTGTCCTCGCCCTGGAGAGGAAAGGCCTCAGCAGCCAGTGACCCCTGGACAGGAGGAGCTCACCAGCCAACCCAGAAGCTCAGCTGGGGTGGAGTGTTTCCAGTGTGGTGGCCGTGGACACTACCGTCGTCAGTGCCCCTCTGCACCAGGCAGTGCCCGTCCCACTTCAAGGACAGTGAAGCGGCTGGGTACTCAACAGCCAGTTGCTAAGGTACGTACTGTGGTTCAGCTGGAAGGAGCTGATGCTCTGACAGTTGTTGACACTGGCAGTGTGAACAGTCTTCTGAGTGACGAGTTGGCGTCTCCTGCACTTGAAGGTGGAACAAGCAGTGGATCGCTTCATTGCAGCGAATGGGAGTGTCGTGACTACAGTTGGGAGGTCACAAGTCTGCGTCAACATCGATTATGTGGAATCCGTGTCCAGCTTCGTGGTGGTTCGTGACCTCACAGATCCAGCTCTGCTGGGAATTGACATTCTGCAGAAGGTGGGGGCTACTATTGAGTGTGCCTCTGGCAGCCTGGTGGTGGGTGGCAGGAAAATTAACACTCAGCTGCCCATCAAAACAAGAAATCAAGTCTCCTGTGCTGCTAGGTCGGAAACCTTCATCAACATCAGGCGTGTGGCAGCAGAGAAACCTGTCCTCTTCTACCCAGAAGAAGTTAAAGGAGTGAGTGTGGCAACTGCAGTGCACCTGGCTCACAAGGGCGTTCCAGTCCGGATCCTGAACCTGAGTGAAGAGGATGTGGTCATCCCTGCAGGCACGGTGCTGGGGACTCAGGAGAGCATCACTGAGTGGAAGCCGCTGGAGGAACCTGAGGAGACAGATAGAAGCCGGACCCGAAGCTGCCATCCGTGGACCACCTGGATCCAGACGACAGGACCCTGTTCCACGAGTTACTGCAGGAGTACAGTGATGTGTTCTCCCAGTCACCTGAGGACATCTGAAACAAGGGGGGTCATCAGCTTGTCATCAACACGATTGGGAAGGAACCTGTTCGTCAACGAGCCTACCGCACACCTCTCCATCTTCGAGCGCTACTGAAAGAGAGACTGTACGCTCTGCAAGAACAGGGTGTCATCGAAGACTCTACGTCACCCTGGTCTTCACCCATCGTGATGACCAAGAAGAAAGATGGTGGAGTGAGGATCTGCTGTGACTACAGAGCCGTGAACGCCGTCATCAAGCACGACTCCTATCCTCTGCCGAGGATTGAAGATCTGCCTACTGGGCTGTACCCATTGCGCCTGAGTCCAGAGAGGTTACTGCATTCACCTCCGAGTATGCCCTCAAGCAGTGGACGCGTCAGCCGTTCGGGCTCAAAACGAGCCCTGGGATGTTCTAGCGGATAATGGAAGACGTACTGAAAGGCCTCAACTGGGAGACAGCAGTGGTGTATCTCGACGACGTCATCGTCTATAGCCCTTCCATGGGAGAGCACCTGACTGCGCTGAAACAGGTGCTGGACCGGTTCAGACAGGCAGGACTGAAGCTGCATCCTGACAAGTGCCAGGTGGCTGTCAAGAAGGTCGACTTCTTGGGGCACCAGCTGGACGAGACAGGGATCCGGCCAACACAGAGCAAGGTGGAAGCGGTAAAGCACTGGCCGCGACCGAGCAACCTGCAAGAAGTTCGTCGGTTCCTCGGGATGGTAGGGTACTATCGACAGTACATACCACGTTTCGCGGACAAGTCGGTGCATCTCACGAACCTACTTCAAAAGGAGACGCCGTGGAAGTGGACGGGTGAATGCGAAGAGGAGTTCCAGAACCTGAAGAAAGATGTTCAGTGGTATCCGGTCCTGCAGAGCCCAGACCCTACAGACGACTTGTGCTCACCACCGACGCGAGCGGCACAGGCTGGGGTGCTGAGCTAGGCCAGTCTACTGGTGTAGTGGCCTTCCCCTCTGGGAAGTGGACCCCAACGGAGAAGAACTGGAGTGTCACCGAACGCGAGCTGGGTGCAGTGGTGAAAGCAACGTCTAAGTTCCATCACTACCTGGTGGGCAAGCCGTTCCTGCTGCGGACTGACCACGAAGCTCTGAAGTACTTGCAGCGCTCGAAGTGCCCATCCGGTCGACTGTTCAGGTGGATCGAGCAGCTGCATCAGTACGGTACGACTACACCGTGGAGCACGTGCCGGGACGCCAGATTCCACACGTGGACGCGCTGTCTCGCATGTTCGAGATGGGCGCAGGGAAGCCGCAGCTGCGTCCGACTGCACCAGAGTTCGTACCGAGGGGAGGCGCGTCCGAAACTCCAGGGGACAACACTTCCAGGACTCCAGAGGAAGGCAAGTCCAGGACGCAGGGAGACAGCGCTTCCAAAAATGCTACATGATCCAGGGGCGCAGAGAGATCAGAAGTGCGCCGCACAGTCAGTAATGTTAAGTTCGTGGGGACGTAGAGGCGCCAGACGGTTATGAGGGCGCCATTCTTCTAGAAGGGCGCCGAGTGATTGGAAACGCTATGTGGTCCAGGGGCGCTGAGAAGCCATGGAAGGGCGCCGAACACTCGAGAGAAGAGATGCACGGTGGACAGAGGCATATAAGGGCGTGAGATATACGGACGGCGCCGTTAGACCATGTGAATGGTTCGGTGCTGTCAAAAGGGCGCCATTCTCCCAGAAGGGCGCCGAGTGATTAAAAACTCTAGGGGAGAGCGGGGCCAGTTGAAACACGGGGTCAGATGAAACATGGCTTTATTTTCAACAGTATGCAACATATGGCGTTGCCGACACCACTGCGCATCCGCGCTCGACCACTTCCTTTGTCAACGGTGTTTGGGCGGCAAACGGACGGTAATTTTGATTTGACACTTGTTTTTGTGTTTTTTAGGGGCGTTTGGGAGAAATCGTTTTTATGAATATTTTGTGATATCTCATATACCTTTGTTTGCTGAAAGAAGAACTCCTGGCTCCGGAATAACACCTTATTTGGCCCTTCAGTCAGCATGATGCCGTCCCTCCAGCTCGTTTGACATGTGCTTTACGGCGCGTGCGAGATGGCGGGAGCGGATGGGGTCAATTGAAACGCTTCTCTGAGGGTCAGTTGAAACAGGGCCACAGGCCGTTTCAATGGACCCCGGTGACCTTTGCAATGGTTATTGTTCAGGGTCTGTAAACATTAAAGGAAATAGTCCACCTTTGAAATGAGCTTTTAAACTGAAATAGTAGTTTAATAGAGCTCAATTTTTGACCCCTTTTTCTCCAGCCTTTTGCTTGAAAGCACACTATAGCCTGAGATATTTCTCATTTTCCTCATCCGCCCATTTTACCATAGTCTATGTACTTTATGTCACCTATTATGAGGAACTTTGCACTTTTAGCTTTCCAACGACCTATTGAATGTAGCATTTGGAAAAGTAAACCGGACAAAATATCTCCTTAAGAAAGTGGCCTTAAAGAGGAAAACATCCCATTGTTAAGGATAGGTGCAATTGACCCCATGGGCTGGTTCAATTGACCCTCGCATCGGGGTCATTTGAAACGGGCGTAGAGCTGTTTTATAAGCATGTGTTTGGCAGCAAAATATGTTTGAAACATAATTTTACATATCTTAAAATAAAGCCAAAAGAGCATATTTTTTCATGGGCTTGTGCAATTTTCGATATGACAACTAGATCTCGCTGTGCATGTCAATATATAAAAAGTGGTTCAACTGGCCCCGCTCTCCCCTATATTATCCAGGATCGCGAGACGGTTAGGACGCCGTTAGAGCATGCAAAGGGCGCCGTGCTGTCGAAAGGACGCTTGTAGCTTTGTAAAAGACTTGTGGGTGCATTCTCATCATTGTGGGGTCATATTTCAGGATTGTGGGTGTATCTGCCCCCACAAAGAGATATAAAATTACACCCCCGCATGCACGAACATGCCCCACAACGTTGTTTTTTATACCTATAT